GTGGATTGATTCTGCCTCTTCTAGACACGTGGTTAAGACTAGAGATAATTTTGTTGAAATGAAGAAAGTGAAAACTGATAAATACAAGTTATACATGAGAAATAATACTTGTTGTGATATGCTTAGAGTTGACAATGTGAGAATTTTGTTTGAGCAAAAGAACCTCCTATTGACTAATGTGCTTTATTCACTCAATATGCAATGCAATGTTTTATTTGTGTCACATTTTGATGATAAGGGTTTTGAAGTCTATTTTCAGTCTTTTATGATTTTTAAGGGAAAACACAGTCGTATTCTTACAAGGGGGAATAAAATTGATGGTATTTACTATTTGAATGTTATTAGTAATAATAATAAAAGTAGTTCTTATTTTGCTTATATCGATGTTTCTTGTGATGTTAATGTTGATTCTACTTTATGACATATGAGACTAGATCATATTAATTATAATAAAATAAAAAAGTAGGCTAACATTAGATTGATTTGAAATTTAGATATTAACTTTTTTTTTTGGTCTGAAGATATTAACTTGAAACCATGTGAATCTTATACAAATGAAAAAATGATTAGAAAGTCATTTGGAAAATTAGAAAGAGCTAAAAATTTGTTATAATTGATACACTCGAATATTTGTGTCAAAACCATTGTGGTATGAAATATTTTATTACTTTTACTGATTACTATTCAAGATATGACTATATATATTTACTAAAGAATAGATTTGATGTCTTATAAAAATTTATTGAATTTAAGGCAGAAGTAGAAAATCAACTAGGTAGAAAAATTAAAATATTAAGGATGGACCGTGATGGTTAATACATGACTAAATTTTTGAAACTTTTAGTAAAGAAAATAGAATAATTCGTCAATTAACAATTTCTTATACACCTCAACAAAACAGCATAGTCAAAAGAAGAAATGTAACACTTTTTGACATTGTTAGATCTATGCTTAGTCATGCATACTTAAGTACTATATTTTTAGGTGAAGCTATTTCTACCGCCATTTATATGCTTAATAGAGTGCCCTCTGGAACAATAGGAATGACACTAGAGATGACAATGGACTGGGAAAAAACAAGTATTCGTCCAAATTCGTCTCGTTTGGACCGGAGATGGACCATACGTATTAGACAGTGGAGGTATACGGGGATACCTGTATAAACCCGAACAGGGAAGAAGGCGGGAATGAACTTACCCTTACCCCCGCCCCGCCTCCGATGTACCTATNTTTTTTTTTTTTTTAAGATAACTTAGATAAATTTGAAAAAATGATTGAGCTATTTAAAATTACTATGAAAAATAAAAATATACAAGCACAAGAGCAAATAATAAAAGAGCCTTCATCCAAGAATACTTTAACTATAATACAAAGAGAAAGACATACACCTACCTATTTAAAAGATTATTATGCATTCAATAGTGAATAAATTCCAAATGATCCTATTGATTTAAATAATGCTATGAATTCAATTAATTATTTAAAATCGAGAGAAGTAATTAAAGAAGAAATAGAATCTATAAAAAAAAATAAAGTTTGGGAGTTGGTTGATTTACCAAAAGATAGAAATGCAATTGGGTGTAAATGAATTTTTAAAAGAAAATTTAAATTTGATGGATCTATAGATAAATGTAAAGCTAAATTAGTGGCTAAAAGATACACATAAAATAAAGGAATAAATTATGATGAAACCTATTATTCCACAGTTAAGTTCACTTCAATAAGAATATAAATATATTTGGTTGTATACTTAGACCTAAAATTACATCAAATGGACATTAAGAATATTTTTCTTAATTTTGAACTTAAAGAAGAAATTTTTATGTATCAACCGCAAAGATATAAAATTAAAGGTAAAGAAGACAAGATGTACAAATTCAATAAGTTCTTATATGACTTAAAACAATCCTCACGACAATGGTATCATACTTTTTATAATGCAATTATATCTTATAATTTTGTTCCAAATAACTATAATCATTATATATATACTTGAAATAGTGGAAGTTATTATATTATTTTGTCTTTTTATGTAAATAATATTTTAGGTGTCAAAAATGATATAAATAAAATCTTAAAACTAAAAGATTGGTTAAACACCAACATTAAAATGAAAGATATGGGTGAAGCACATATGTATTTGGAATTAAAAATTTAAGAGATAAAAAACAAAGAAAATTGAGTGTTTCTTATTTGAAAAATATTTTAAAGAAATTCAAAATGGATTATTCTAAACCTATTGAATCACTCATTTACAAAGGAGTAAAATTGTTTAAGAATATGACTCTTAAAAAAAAAAATACAAGAAATGAAATCTAAACCCTATGCGGAAGTTGTTAATAGTCTTATGCATGCTATGTTATGCACTAAACCGAATCTTATCTATGTTGTTGGTTTGATTATCAATATCAAAGTAATATGGGTATACCTCATTGGTTAGCTGTAAAACGTTTACTTAAATGCATACAAGGCACATTAGATTTTTCATTAACATATCAAACATATGATATAAATATTAATGGTTATTATAATGCTGATTTTACTGGAGATATTGATGATCGAAAATCCACCACATGGTATATATTTTATTTTAGGTGGTGGTATTCCATGATCTAGTAAAAAACAAGGTTGCACAGCTAAAAATACTATAAAAACTGAATATGTTGCTTCTAGTATGATTGTTTCTGAGGTCATATGGTTAAAATGGTTTCTAATTAATTTAAAAATTCCTTGTGTAAATAATATGTCTATTCGTATTTTTTGTGATAATGAGGCTGTAATAAAAATCATTAAAAATGAAAAAATCGGTCCCAAAGATAAGTATATTGAGTTGCAATATCACTATATAAGTGATATAATACAAAAAAGAGCATGTTACTATTGATTATCTTTGTACAAAAGATATGGTTGTAGAGTCATTGACAAAACTTACTAGAATTAAAGAATTTAAACGATATATCATTGCTATGGATTTAAGTTATGAATAAATATCTCGGGTTTGTGGCCAAGTGAGAGATGTTGGAATTTATGTAGCTAAAATCCATCGATATTAATTAAACCATAATTGGTGGTCAAATCCGGAATATAAAACTTCAATCAATTGGTTAAATATTACATTATTTATAACATATATCATAGATATATTTTTTATGAAATTATTATGTACTAAATATTATTATATGATTGGATTTTTGGGTTTAACTTTTTCTAGTCAGTATAAATGACTTGGCTAGAGTAACTCATCAAATTGTAATCAATTGCGTCTAAGATAGTTAAACCTATTTGGAATATTTTAGTCTTTTTTTACTGTAAGGACTAGGGAGTTGAGAAAATATTGATGGAGTTAAGGCTAATTAGGTGAGTGGTAACAACTAATTGAATGGCTAGTTGATACATCTTCTATTATAAATAAGACTCTTTGAATATAGAGATAACCATCGGTGAGAAACACCAATTTGAGAGAAAACTCATTAGAAGAAAATTTTCAACTCTACTACTTTCGTATCAAAGAAAGTTTTTAACTTTCAAAGGTTAGCTCCTCATTCATCAAAATTATCAAATTCTATTATGCAAATTCCTATAGATCTCAACTAGAAGTTCTTGATCGAAACTGATTGGCCTAAGCCAATCCAAGCCTAGATCAGAGATGCAGATCAGGTCCAGCTCAAATATATAGGCTAACTCTACCACAAGATCAAAGAATTTCAGTTGGGCCAAACCCACCTTGAAAGATCAACTCATCATCAGTGCACGTGGGAATCTTCATCTAAGGAGAGGGATTCCGTGGAAACGCAATCATTATGGGTACATCGCTAGTCTCACAAGATTATCTCGTCCGTTACGAGATAGGACGAGATTTAAGGAATCACCTAGTCCTTGTTATGAGGATGGCGCCCCAATTAGAATTCTTCGGAGCCAACTTCACTCACTTATAAATTGTAAGTCTCGCCTATTTATGGAAGGCATCGCACACATCTTAGCACACTACACCTTTTAAATAATAAGATTCTCCAGCCACCATTAACATTCCCAATAGAATAGATCACCCAGACTAAACTACCTAATTTATGTCTCTTATTGTTTTGAGCATCCACCATGACCTACACCATCACATATGTGATTAATTTTACTTAAACACATTTATGTATCTTTAGAAACCATTGAATACGTTGTTGAATTCTAGTTGTTCGCCTCTTTGCCCATGGCCACGAGGCTCACGACCTTCTTCTTCTCGCCCACGTCACCCTTCTTCTTCTCGCCCTGTATATCTCTGTTGCTGTCCTCCTCGATAACTTCCGGCAAGAAAGAATTTCTTATTATAGAATTTCAAAAAATCTACTAGTTAGAACAGCTTCATTGCTGTTATATGGGACATCACTTTACTACTCTTATGCGTGGTGTAATCTCGGGATTCACATGCCCACTTATTTATTTATTATTAGACGATTACATTACGTGACAATGTTAAAGTAATATAATTGTTCAATAATAACTCGATAATTAGTCAAAATAAACCCCACTTCTTCATATAACAACTCCTCCATGGAAAATAGTAATCGTTACATATTCAAAAAGTAAGATTCACTTATTTATTTATTTATTATTGATTAATTATATCACGTGACAACTGATGTGAAACTGTTTCACCCAATATTCACTTTGTTATTGAATCGTGACACTTAGTAACTATGGCGTGACATGATGTATCTATCAATATTTTCACCAAAAGTACAAAAATCTTACCCTGAAGTTCTCATCAAGCTGGTTAGCTTCGTTACCGGTGTCAACAAGTGCCATGCAAGTAAGAGGCCCTTCTCCGTCGTTGTAAGCCCAATGAGTTACACCAGCCGGCAAGGCAAGGATATCGCCTTCTTGAAATCGTCGAAGCTTCTGATGGCAATCTCTAATCTTCCGTTTCCGATCACCGGAACTCTGTGATCCTGATTCATATGTCCTTGCACATCCCGGGAAAATTGTCCCCTGAATACCCCTACCTGCATTCATTAAAATTAGCATAATGTACAAGTCACTAATAAATTTATGCATTGATAATTCGAATTAATTCTCAAACTAACACGTTTCTATGATTTAAACACAATATTTCCTCTACGTCATGTAATTTAGAAGTTTAAGTTGATAATATAAATAAGTATAAGTAATTAATTTGTGATTTAATCCATCACGATTCACAACCATTAGATTAATAATGGGTCTTAAAAAACACCACGACACAAATTCAATGGTAGTGAGTAGAGGTGGCAAATAGACGAGTTGAGTTGATTATAGGTTGGTTCATAATGGGTTGGGTGCAAAACAAATTCAATCCGTTTTAAACTCGCTTAATAAACGGGTTATAATGTGTTAGATCATAGTGGGTTGAGTTAAAACCATTAACNCGACACCAATTCAATGGTAGTGAGTAGAGGTGGCAAATAGACGAGTTGAGTTGATTATAGGTTGATTCATAATGGGTTTGGTGCAAAACAAATTCAATCCGTTTTAAACTCGCTTAATAAACGGGTTATAATGTGTTAGATCATAGTGGGTTGAGTTAAAACCATTAACCCGGTAAAATAATTAAAACTCTTAATATGAATACCCACCAAAAATAAACACACATACTGCACATAAAAACACAAACATATTTATTTTATTACTTGTGTCATTGGTGGCATGGGTTGGGGTTGAGTCTATTAGTGTGTGTGTGTGTGCATTTTTTATGAACTAATGTGAGTGTGTTTTGGTATATTAGTGTATGTGTGCATATTTTAATGTATTAATGTGTGCATATTTTGANTCAGGGCATGGGTTGGGGTTGAGTCTATTAGTGTGTGTGTGTGTGTGCATTTTTTATGAACTAATGTGAGTGTGTTTTGGTATATTAGNTGGCATGGGTTGGGGTTGAGTCTATTAGTGTGTGTGTGTGTGCATTTTTTATGAACTAATGTGAGTGTGTTTTGGTATATTAGTGTATGTGTGCATATTTTAATGTATTAATGTGTGCATATTTTGATGTATTAATGTGTATATTTTTTATTGTATTAATATATTTATTTAATNAGTGTATGTGTGCATATTTTAATGTATTAATGTGTGCATATTTTGATGTATTAATGTGTATATTTTTTATTGTATTAATATATTTATTTAATTTTATTACGTATATTATTTAATAAAAAAATAAATTCTCAACACTTATTTGTAATTCATCTTAACTCATTTAATTAAAATAAATCATATTATCCAACTCATTTAGAATTCGCATTATTAATATAAGTATTCAATCTATTTATTTATAGGCGAATTGAGTGACTTAATGAATAATGGATTAAAACTACTGAGTAATTAGCTGAGTGAAAGAAAGAGGCACAGAGAGAAGGAGGAGGGAAGGGGGGCCAGCCTTCGACGATATAAGTGAGCTGATGTGCATGGTTGTAAGCAGGCAACAATAGGCCTCTAGGCTGAATCATATGGCGAATTGCTTTGACTCCGGCACACTTCTTCTCATTATCGTTTGTGTCCCAGAACTCATTGACTCCGGCCTCGGACTCGAGCCGGCGGTTGGGTTCTTGAGCATTAGGCCTCTGAATGCGGCACTCCCCTCTGGCCTGGACGTGGTGTGCTCCCGCTGTTGCCTGAAGCCATCCCATTGTCCCCATTGTCACTCTAACTGAGCGAAATAGCCGTGAAAAAAGAACGATAAAGCAAAGAGTTAGAGAGAGAAAAGAAATAGAAGCCATCGTGGAGTGAGAGTTTTTTTTTTTTTGTGTGTGTGCTGTTGCCGGTGCCGATGAGAAGCGGCTATCGGAGATGTTGGGTATATATAGGAATGGAAGGAGGGTTAGGATTTGACACATCGAGAGAGTTGGTGAATGGTGAAACACTTGTCTTCTCCCTCTACATTTACTGTACTTGTGCATGGATGTTTAACGATTCTTTGTTCACTTCATACATGGAAGTTCTGGTAAACGAAATGTGGCAGTGATCTAAGAAGAAGTGTTCAGTTGTTTGTGTTTGTATCTGCATGCTTCTTTGATGTGTTCTTGACTAAATATGGGATGCAATGGTCACACCACTCACACCACATCACTAAAAGTGCAACTATCTCATAATAAATTCTTAAATGGAGAAAGTGCTTTCAATATTTATGTATTATG